TTTAAGGACCAAGTAACGTGGATTTTTAAAACTATTTTTGAAATGGATCAGCAGGCTCATTGTTTAGACATCAGAAGAGCCATATATAAGGATTTATGAGTCTCGCTATAGAGTATTTATATCAATGCGGTCGAAACGTGTCCATCGAAATAACGGTTTCGAACCCAAGGTCTCATTGAACCAAATCCGTTCCAGGACATTTGGCTTCGATGTAGTGGTGTTCGTTCGTCCGTCTGTCTGTCTGGTACACACGATAACTGTCGAAGGGAATATCCAATTTGATCCAAACTTGGTGCACCTTAATTCGAGTTCAGAGATGGGCAATATCGGTCCACTCCTTATGATCCCTCCCCCACATAATATCATTTTTTTATGAAAATATATTCCTCTACAAAAAAAAGAAAGTATCATCCAATCTTTGCAAATCCCAATATTTTTGTCAGTGCAAGGTTAAGTGCGAAAACGGACTATATTGACCCACTCCATCCATCAACCCACAAAGGATCAAAATTTTGTATAATCGTCTCACTTATAAAATGTGATATCCCAATTTTTTCTGCTATGAAGAACGAATAGAGCAGATCACTCCTTCTGGCACCTTCGCCACAAAGAGTAAAAAGTTTGAATAGCAAAAACTCTCATAAAATGCGAAAAGACCATCCATTTCACACATCCCAATATTTCTACTAAAGGGCTGCAAATGTGACAATTTTTTCTCTTTATGCCATGGAGAAAAAACGCTCGTCATGTTGTGCCCTGTTTGAACAAACGCATAACAGTACGTGACATCCAACCAAATGCTCGATGTCTCGTCATGTCGGTCACACTCAAACCCATCGTCATAACATGTAATGACCAATAAAAGGGAATGTTGAATAGTGTGTCATACAAAAATGTTCTATCAAAAAAACAACAACAATTATGAAACAATTTCCAACGAAAAAGACACACACGTGATGAATGCAAAGCAAAATCGCTACCTGCTTTTCCGATATGTGAAAAAATAAATTTTTTGTAATAAAGAATTTCTTGGCGAATACTAAAACATTAAAGGTACTTCTAATTGGTCCACACGAAACATTCACTTTTCGTGGTTATTGTTAATCCTTATTAAAAAAAAAAAATGTTCTTATTTTGATTATAATTTCATAAATGTTTGCCTCCGGTATTGAGGTGTAAATGAGAATGAGTGCTACTGTAATTCACGTAACAACACTATATACTTCCATTGTTCAATTCTGTGCATATTCTGTTATTGAATGAGAGTCAAATCTCTGCCCACAAACTTTAATATTAAAAGAACACTATATGTAGATAGAAAATAGGCAAACAATATTTACCTCTTTTTTATGATCAAAATTTTATGATAATCATCAACAAATTGGGATTGTTCAGCATATATTTCATTTTTTCTATTCATTTGTTGATGTCAATGCACATTTTGTTATTGAACTCAATTTTATATTTACGCGGTGTTTGTTACTTCAAAATTACAGCGCACACAAAAACACATCCTCGCCGTCGAAAGTAACACACACACACTCTCTCAATTTAAGCACACGTACACAAATGACACACAATTTGACGATGACACGGTTCGATGTCGTCGTTGACACCCTGCATTTTTCGAGAACACCATGCAAATATTCGAGTCAGCCATGCCACGATCGAACCTTAGACAATGGCACACATGAATCAAAATGGGGGATGTTGTTGGTTGTCATTGCTTTTCAAATACATAGCGCATGATTGAGTAGACAAAGTCAGTGTATCGAAAAAAGCATAATTCATATAATTCGTCTTGTGCAGGCCTTTAATTTCTACCATCGGAAGATCTGCTGAGAATATGGGTGTACTCCTTCTGGTACTCCAAAAGGGTCAAAATTTTAAATAATTATGACTCTCATGAAATTCGAAATAAATTTTCGAAATTTCACTAAACGTTTATAAAATGCGAAATAAGCATAGGATTAGGCTGAGGGTATCCATATGTCGGGAAAAGGGTCTAATACTTTTTAACTTGTTGAAACTAATTTTTGAAGGGTCAATCAGGGAGGGACATTTAGGGCATTCATAAAGATATATGGAATTAAAATTAGTGGTTTTAAACTAATATATAAAAATATAGAGGGACCATTGTGAATTTTAAAACCATAATGTTGATGGAACATAAGACAACAATCGTGGACTCAAAAAATGCAAGTTTGGATTTCATCAGAAATATAATCGTTGATTTGAAAAATCACATTTTGGAGGGAGTTTCATGGACTACTATTTTGAAGGGCAAAAGTTATAATCGTGGGTATTAAAAATACATATGGGACACCCTTGGATTTTAGAAATACAATTTTGGAGGGACTTTTGTTGATTTTAAAAATATAATTTTGAAGGGACAATGGTGGATTTCGGAAATACAAATGTTGGACACACACATTTGAAGGGCCAAAAATCAATTCTGAACGGACTATCAGAGTTACGATCGTGGATGTTAAAACGGACCAAGTGCCATAATCGTAGATTTTTAAAATATAGTTTTGAAGTGGCCATCAGACTTATTATCGTGGATTATAAAAACGCAATTTTGGACGGCCTATCGTGGATTTTTAAAATACAATATAAAAAGATCCCTCAGAACTCTAAAAAATGAATTAAAAAAATAGAAGTTCATCTGAGCTTTAAAAGTGGATTTTTTACCAAATTTTCAAAGTGTCCATCAAAGCTCTAAAAGAGCATTTTTGTAACAAGTTTTTGAGGGTCCCTTCGAACTTTAAAAATTAAGACAAATTAAAAAAAAAATGGATTTTTGAAACTTAAGTGAATTTTTAATGGATACATCAGAGCTTTAAAATTGAAAATTTGAAACAACATTGATTGGTTTAAAAAATCCAATGAGCCTCCAGAATTATATTGTCGTGATTATTATTTTGATAGACCCTATAATGTGGTGTTTTAAAAATCGAAGATTAAAACCCCAATTGTTTCTTCCATGCCGTAGCTTTAAGTATTCACCCATATGGTTTTGAATTCGGCCCTACAAAATTTAATTATCTTCCTCTCTTTGTTTTTGCTGACCACATGCGGCAACCAACGAACACGTGTTGGTTGGATACAACCAACAACATGTCGAAATCACTTAAGATTTACGCTGCGTTTTATAATTTGTAAAATCACCCAAAATACAGCAGCAGCAACAACAAAAAACCTCAATTTTGTTGAAACCGAAAATTAAAAGCATTTTGATGTCTGTCTGGGCCAGAAACAAAAGGAATTTGTAATAAGTTTAATCAATCAACATGATGTATGCTTTTAATAATCGAATTTAATTTGTTCAGCAACCAAACGCAACAACCACAATGAAACCAACTTCAACAAAAGTGAGCATAACAACAGGAACGAAAACAACAACAACGTTATTGTTTTATTAAACGAAACTTGCCGCAGTGATTTCGCACTCGATTGTTACCATTATTATTTTTTCTGTTCTTTTCATTTTCATTGAGTTCCTTTTCGTCGGAATTTGTTTCTGGAGCAAAAAATTAAACCAAAGCTCCGCAGTGGCCTGCACATATGGTGTTGGTCTTCTATGGAGAAGACCACCAGTTGGTCTTCTATGGAGAAGACCACCAGTTGGTCTTCTATGGAGAAGACCACCATTGGTCTTCTATGGAGAAGACGAGCCATTGGTCTTCTATGGAGAAGACGAGCCACTGGTCTTCTATGGAGAAGACGAGCCATTGGTCTTCTATGTAGAAGACCAGCAATTGGTCTTCTATGGAGAAGACCACCAATTGGTCTTCTATGGAGAAGACCACCAATTGGTCTTCTATGGACAAGACCAGCAATTGGTCTTCTATGGAGAAGACCAGCAATTGGTCTTTTATGAAGGAGACCAGCAATTGGTCTTCTATGGAGAAGACCAGCAATTGGTCTTCCATGTAGAAGACCAGCAATTGGTCTTCTATGTAGAAGATCAACAATTGGTCTTCTATGGAGAAGACCACCAATTGGTCTTCTATGGAGAACACCTCCATTTGCTCTTCTATGGAGAAGACCACCTATTGGTATTCTATGGAGAAGACCACCTATTGGTCTTCTATGGAGAAGACCACCTATTGGTCTTCTATGGAGAAGACCACCTATTGGTCTTCTATGGAGAAGACCACCTATTGGTCTTCTATGGAGAAGACCACCTATTGGTCTTCTATGTAGAAGACCACCTATTGGTCTTCTATGGAGAAGACCACCTATTGGTCTTCTATGGAGAAGACCAGCTATTGGTCTTCTATGGAGAAGACCAGCAATTGGTCTTCTATGGAGAAGACCAGCAATTGGTCTTCTATGGAGAAGACCAGCAATTGGTCTTCTATGGAGAAGACCAGCAATTGGTCTTCTATGGAGAAGACCAGCAATTGGTCTTCTATGGAGAAGACCAGCAATTGGTCTTCTATGGAGAAGACCAGCAATTGGTCTTCTATGGAGAAGACCAGCAATTGGTATTCTATGGAGAAGACCAGCAATTGGTCTTCTATGGAGAAGACCGATTGTTCTTCTATGGAGAAGACCTATTGGTCTTCTTCTAGGGAGAAGATCTATTGCTCTCCTATAGAGAAGACCTGTTGCCCTTCTATGGAGAAGATATATTTACCTACTATGGAGGAGACCTATTGGTCTTCTACGGGAACACCTATTCTGTGGAGGATCATCCCAATATTACATCATTTGTTATTTTACCGTTTAAAAACGTTAATCACCACCTTTCTTGATTACAACAACAACAAAGGCAACGGTAACAACAACAACATATTTCCTGGTACTTCAAAACAAACATTTGGGCAATGCTAATCAATTCCTTAACGGATAGTCTTTTAAAGAAAATAATCAACAACATAACTGCAATTTTTCTTGTTCGGAGCAGCAGTCAACCTTAGCTTTCTTTAGCTGCAGCAGCTGCTGCCGCTGATAATGGCTACCGATCATGTTAACTTGGCGGTGGTACATACCTCTATTTTTAATTTCATTAACAGCATTGCGATTATTTTCATCATGAACATTGTTGGTGTTGTTGGTTGCCGAGCTTTTCTTTTTGGTATTGCATTCTTCGCCAGTGGAATGGCCACTTTCCTCTTCTTCCAAATCGTCGTCATCCTCTTCATCATCCTCGCCGGTCTCAACGCCATCATCTTCTTCGTCATCCTCATCCTCGTCGTCATCTTCCTCATCATCGATGGCAACAACTTCATCGTACTGCCGCCCATCAGCGGTAACAGAAGCTACAACATTGCCATTGTTGTTGCAACGATTGTTTTTAATGTTTGTTGTTTGCCGGGAGTTTTTAGTGATTTTTGATGAGTTGGCCGGGCTTTTACGAGCATTGCCACTTGAATTCGACATAGTTGTTGTTGGTGGTGTCTTAACGACAACATCATTATGTGACCATAATTTTGTATTACCGTTTATTGCTGACGATTGCTTAGACTTCTTCTTCTTCGTCGTTTCATCGCTGAGCATAGATGACGTCGATGTTGTTGTTGTTGTCATATTTGAAACGTTAGTTCCACTCAAAACATCCGTTGACTGGGTGGACGTCAAGATATCCTTGTGATAGGAGTTATGACGACTGCGTGCCACAGCAACTGCTGCCGCATTGACGGCATCCGAATTGCTGGATTGTAACAGGCTGCTGGTATTGGTGGTTGTGGCCTGTGCTCCCGGAAATGTGGCATTACGCTTGTGACGACCCTTGGCCTTGGGGAAGGCCACCAAAATATTTAGCCACCATTTGGACTCTTCGGGGCAGGTACCTTTAACGAATGTAACACGATCTGGTGCGGTTATGGCAATGGAATTGCTATGACCTGTAACATCTTCGGCGGTGGTCACCTCCAGAACTTTGGTCATGTCAATGCAAGCCTGTGGAACGGTTTCGGGCTGGAAAAAAGGGAGAGAGAAAAGTTTTCAAATTTGAATGAATTTTTTTAAAAAAGAGGATATTAAAAATTTTTACATAAAATATTCGAAATTTATCCACGGCATTAATTTATAAATATTTTTTTTATTCAAAATTTTTCAAAATAATACCTTATCTCTAGCTCTGAAATATTCGAAATTTATCCACGGTTTAATTTTTATTTTTTTTTTTTTATTTAATTCAAAATTTTTCCAAAAATTTAAAAATATTACATTCTCTCTAGTCCTAAATGGAGGATGAAAGTATCATTCAGATCTGACATATAGGGTGAGATAAAAAAAAAAACTGCAACAAAGTCAAACGCCATATTTTTATAATTTTTCTTTAAATTTTATTGAATGAAAACAAAAAATGTCGGAAATAGCATCAAATTTTAGAATAAGTTTAGATTTGTTCGAATTGGTCACCTTTGGCACGAATTATGGCCTTCAAACGGCCAATGAAACCGTCACACTCTGCCCGAATGTTGCTATGCGGTATTTTGGCCCATTCCCCGCGAAACGCGTGCTTGAGATAATCGACACTTTGGTATTTTTTAGCTAGCTTTCAAAAATACTCCAGACACAATAGTCCAACGAATTGGTACCCGCAGATTTTGGTGGCCATTATGCGCTGGAAATGAAGCGAGGAACCTCATTTTGTAACCATTCTTGGGTGGCGCGTGCTGAGTCCTGTTGGAATGTCCAAGGTCTGCGGCCAAAATGTTTGAGTGCCCAAGGCTTATATACACCCTTCAGAATATTTTCGAGATAATATTCGGCTTTTATTCTGATGCCACCGTCAATTAATACGAGCGGAGAGCGACCATCGGCTGTTATGGCAGCCCACACCATCACCATGGCCGGCGCTTGGGTTCTGGTGGCCAACCGAAGGTGCACATTTTTAGCTGACCTCTTTGGCAAGTAAACACGATCAGTCTGTTTGTTTACAAACTGCCCGACAAGGAATGTTTTCTCATCGGAGAAAACAAAATTCGGCAGTTTACCATTCGGCCAAGCGAAGCAACTCTTTAGCTCGTTTGAGTCTATTTTCTTTCTGTTGCGATGTAAGTTCTTGCATTTTTATACCTTACAACACTATGTGTTGGGGGTATTATAAGTTTGATTGGCCCAAAAATTATGTAACACCTCGAAATATTGGTTTCCCATATAGGAAAGTATATATGGATCTTCCTAGCTCGCCGAGCTGAGTCGATCTAGCTATGTATGTCCGTCCGTCCGTCTGTCCATGTTAATTTGTAATCACTCTACAGGTCGCAATTATGGCCCGATCTTCACGAAATTTAAAATGTAGGTGGGGTTAAGGTCAGAATAGAACCCTATTTCTTTTGGAGATGATCGCCAAATGTTTAGGGGTTGAAATGGACCAAATACTGAAAAAATTTCGGATTTTGCAGTAGCTATACAGGTCGCAATTATAGACCAATCGACGCGGAAATTCGCATGTACCTAGAGTTTAGGGCGGGGAAGAAGCCTACCAATTTGGGTGGTCATCGCATAATATTTAGCGGCTAAAATAGACCATTTCTTTTTTGTTGAAAAAATTCAAAATTTTTCATTAAACCGCGAATATTTTAAATCCCGGAGAAATCACAAAGCCATGAAAGGTTACTTCTGATCTTTACATTGATGTTGAGATCCAACAAATCGAATATATAGCAAAATATGTGCGATATATATGTCTATCAAAGAAGATATGCTTAAAAGATCTATTTAATGTCGAGAACGGCTGAACTGATTTCGACAGTTCTCATTAATTCAGAATGGCCTCTTGGTAGGAAAGAAAAAACGTCTAAAAAATCGCATAAAAAAATCTATAAAGATGAAAATATTGATTTTGTAAAATTTTCTCATATTTTTTCAATTTTGTCATATTTTTGGCATATTTTCATTTTGAATTAAACATTTGGTAATATTTCTACAGCTAACAAAACTAAGTAGTTAGGATATCAGGATATCATATACAGATCGCATTTATGGCCCGATCTTTACGAAATTTTGCATGGGGATAAGATGAGGGTCAGAATAGAAGCCTACTATTTTTGGAGATGATCGCCATATATTTAGGGGTTGAAATGGACCAAAAAACTGCAAAATTGTCAGCAGGTCGTAATTATTGCCCGATCCTTAGGCACAGTTGAATGGGGGTTACCGGACATTGCAAAAGCCAAGCAGTTTTGGGTGGCCATCCAAAAATATTCAATGTGTAAAGGAGTTTGCCAACTTTTGTAGACAAAATACGAAAATGTCCATTTCAGTAACTTTTTGGAGAATTCACAAGTACAGGAAAGACGCACTTCTCACTATTTCGTTAACGCTGATTTCGTTGAAGAATATAGTCAAATGGCTGTATCTCATATAGATGTGTTTCAGTCAAAAACCAATAATAAATGTTAATCTTTTGCCACTTCTGAGGGATTATGGGTCTTTGGGAAATATTGGTTCCAGATCTAGGAAGACCATTTACGTGCAACATCTACCAATAAATTGGAAATGAGCAAATTAGTTTAAGTTGCTATTATTCGAAAATTAGAGAACGAAACCTGATGGTTTTCCTTTATTATTTGTCACAATATCTTGTGGAATTCTTTCGAGTATCTCGCCTATATAAACTGTATCGTTTATTGTAGTGTTGTAGGGTATTCAACGGTCGGCCCAGCTCGACTGTAGCCTTTGCTTACTTGTTTGGAATTGCAATGGTTTTACCCCGAGCTCATTTTTCAATATTTGACGGATGAAATATTGCGATATGTTCAGCTCACGAGCCATTTTTCGGCCATTGCGACGCGGGTTTCGATCAAGACGCTTCTTTAATTTTCGAACCATTTCTGCTGATGTTGCTGCTTTCTTCCGTCCACTTCCTTGACGTCGGGCTGCGCTACCAGTATCAGGGTAACGAGCGATGGTAAGAGATTTATTCGCATTTAAATGCTGGAGTGCTCAAACGATAGCCACTTGTGATTTTTTTATAAAGAAATCACACTATCACGCTTGAATTCCATCACGAATAACTTTTTTTTCTGGAAAATGCTTTTGTGTCCTTGTAAACAATATAAGGAGCTGTCACTGGAATAATTTCAACAGCTGTCGGACGAATGGCTTAGAAATGACAGCAGTCTGAAGTTGGTTCCAGTTTTTTCATCTCACCCTTTATGTTTGGGAATTTTTCCTATGCGCTGAATTTGTGTTTGAAATCACTAACACCATTTTTTCGGAGTCTTTCCCTTTCGTTTTTAAATCTTCCACTAAAATTCGTATTGAAAAGTTTGCCATTTTTGCATCTCATAATCCAAAAATGTATGCATTGCAAAATATCAAAAGTTGGCATGGACAAATCTAATCCAATCCTACAACATATTCAAACGAGTTATGACAGTTCCAGTAGGGTGCCAATTAGTATTCAATTTCCTACTATTCCTTGCTGCCGCTGTTGCTGTGATTTAATGTTTATGATTTTTTCTAATCGCTATGGCGGCAATGTCCACCGTTCAGTCCAGTTCAGCTCAGCCAGCGACAATCACATGTTGTTCATGCAAGTTGGAACAGTTGACCAACTGCCGTGTAGGAAATGTAAGTGTTACTTTCACAGAAGGGAGCAACATGTTGCTGCGGCAGCAACATGCTATAAATACGCTAGCCAGCTAAGCATGGCTGCAACAAGGAAAAATTGTCCTAGTGGCTAGACGCAAGAGATCTGGTCTCCATTCTTGAAAAAAAAGACAACAAACACCAAGAGAAGCCAAAAATAAATTGTTTATGTTTCCTCAATGACTGTAAATCACCTGAAGATCTCACAAGGAAATGTTTAGCATCATGGATGCTTTCCTGTTTTAGTTGTTCAAATCAAATCAGGGAAATAATGTTAAAATCATAGAATTCTGCTAAAAAAACAAAACACCAAAAACCTCTGGATAGAAGTAGGAAAATAAACAAAACCGGCTTAGAGCCTGGACTAATGTTAGTGTTTTGCCATTTACCACTGCAGCAGTGGGTATGGGTTTTGCCTATATATGGCCATATTACTTTATCATAATTTATATTTGAAAATGTTTTTCTTCTTTTTACTAAGATGCAGAATTTTTGTTGTTGTTCTTGTTGTCGTTATTTGCCAAGAGCGTAAAGAATGTCCAAAGATTGCAAAGACAAACTGAGGAAATATTTCCAACAAAATAACCAACAAAACGAAAACAAACCGAACGAACATCTTCGTAATCTTGATTTAAATGTTCCTTTCATTGAAACGAAACCTGTTGGCGACAAAATCTTTGGAGACAAAATAGAAGGTGATGTTATGTCGCAATGGTTTTTTAAAGTTTATAATTTTAAGACTTTGAAGAGGTTTGAAAAATTGTTAAGGCTTGAAATAATAATCGAAATTTTATTCACGACCTGGATTGATGTTCGAAAATTATTCAATCCTGGAAATATTTATATTTGAAATATAAATAAGAATAATGTTCAAAAATATCCAGGGCTTGAATTGATTTTTAAAAATTATTGATTGATTTTCAAATATTATTTATGCTTGAGACTGGATGTCGAATATTATACAAAAATTAATCTAAGGGATTTCTGAAAATTATTTAGGCTTGGGAATAGTGTTCGAAACCAAGCCTTAAAATTATGTTCGAAATATTGTTAATACCCTACAATAATATTAGAAATAGTGTTCACGCTTTTGGAAAATGTTGGTGAAATTAACCACGCCTTAAAATAATGTTCGAAATATTATCCACTCCTTAGAAAGATGTTCGAAATATTATCCACGCCCTAAAATAATGTTTGAAAATTTATTATATATTGAAAATTTTCGAAATAATAATATCCACGACTTGGAGATATGTTCGAAATACTATTTTATCACCGACTTGAAACATTTATTAAATATTTTCCAAGACAGGAAACATGTTTGACATATTATCCGAGACTGGGATAAATATTCGAAAAAATATGCAAGGCCA